GGAGGAGGAGGAGGAGGACTAGGAGGAGGAGGAGGAGGAGGAGGAGGAGGAGAGACACATGTAGATTATTTAGAAAGCTGGCAATTATTCATCACTTATTAATTAGTTCTCATCTTTCTTTCCCTTTCTCCTTCTCTTTCACTTTTTTTCTTATTTTCCTTATTTATCCTCCACCTTATTCTACTTCTTTTTCCCTTTACTTGTTGCCCATTTTTATTCTTCTGATGTATTATCATTCTCAAAGTCATAATCTCCCGCCCGTGTACGTTCTTATTCAGATTTGTTTTATTCTCTTTATGCATTATGGATCCACGAACAGTCCGCGAGGGCAAGAACACACATAGTCCCATGTCCATGCAACAGGGGCGGAACTCCCCCAAAGAAACTTTTCTGCTTTAAAAGTGGCGTTTTTCTTATCCGTACTGTATATCCTGCCCATTTCTCTTTCGTACAGATGATAATTATCTGTCGTAAAACTCTTACTAAAACTGAAGTACAAAGAAGAAAAAGCCTTTCTACACGTCCTACCTTTGGTTACATCTGTAGAAGCCTGTTGTGGCGTTTTCACAAATACACTGCAGGTCACAACCATCGTTCCACTTCTGGCCTTGGGTGAAAGGCACGCCGTTATAGACGCAAACCCCTGGAGAGAATACATTATTCTTAATGCAGGTGTTTTTACGCCGACATTGACCCAATTAAGATCATTTAGTAGGCGGGCTTCGATTCTGCCAGTCGATATCAACCTGAGCAGACAGAGAGGGATTTAAAGATCTCAGAAGAAAGACCCTGGTATTCGATACCCCCCCCCCCCCCACACGCACATATGGGAATCAAACACGGGTCTTCTGTGTGTAACGGCAAAGCGTTTAAATGCTACACCCCAGACACCAGAGCCCCCGGAGACAGCAAACAGACACTAGAGATTACGATTCTCAAAAACTAACAACGGCGTCAAAGCAATTACTGGAGAACATCAGCGTAGGAAAGAACTAGATGGGCCCCCTTTCGATGAAAGGAATGATCGGTGCTTTAATATCAATTAAAAGTCATTGGCCTACTATATTTACACTCTACTGGAATGGGGCAATAAATCTTGAGAGAAGCAAAAAATTAGGTCTAGATCTATACTCTCAAAACAAAATGCGCCTCGCGATATATCACTTCCGGATTTTCTAAAATTACAGAGACAAAAGCCTACAAAAGCGATCGGCGAAATAAAGAAATTTAGCTTTTTGCAGCAAAACTGTCTCAAAATTGAAAAAACAAAGGACGTCATGATCTGGAGAATATTTTAACGAATCTTTTGGTGAAAACTGCATATCGATCGAAGCAGCCATAAAAAGGCCTTTTGAATAGCAAAATTCAGCCACCACAAATAGATAATAGATACTTTCAAAATAAAAACAGAGAGCTGACATTCTGTTTTATAATATGTTCGTCAGTCTTCCTGAGGCCAAATGACCGTTGTTTTGTCAATGTGCTTCTATTTACTTAGCAACTAATATTCCTCTTCCTTATCCTCATTCTCCTTCTTCTCCTTTTTTTCTCCTTGTAATAGTTTTTAAAAAAAATGTATCTTCATTTTTATGCTCCTTTGATTTATTCTCATCCTTATCGTTTTTCTCGTTCTCATTTTTATACTCTCTCTATATTCTTATACTCTCCCTTCTCCCTTCTTGCTCTCCTTATCATTTTCCGTACTTATTCTTCCTCCTCTCACTCTTCCTCTCATTCTCCTAATTTATTCTCTTTCATCTCTTGTTCTCATTTTTTTTCTCTGTCTATACATTCTTCCTTTTTACTCTTCTTATCACTCTGCTTTTCATTCTCCTCCTTACCTTGTCTGGGTGCAGGCGTGGGGGAGAAGAACGGGTTGGGACGCTGTGTCGTTTTCTGTGTGGGTGGCATAATAGTTGTCTTAGTGAAGTCACAGTACGGAGTTTTACAGCATGGCTTCTTAACATCGGGCACCAGTACACACACACTGGGCAGGGTTCCCAGGCTTGGGCATCTGGGGATAGATAGATAGATAGATAGATAATAGATAGATAGATAGATAGATAGATAGATAGATAGATAGATAGATAGATAGATAGATAGATAGATAGATAGATAGACCTTTCCCTCTGATATTTTACTGCAACAAATGGCAGTCGTGGTGTCGATGTGGTTCTGTTTACTCAAGCTTAACAAATGTGGAACTCTTTTGTCAGACGCTACCGGCGTCTCTAGCGTAAATGCGAGGCCCATCCGGGTTGCACACTGAAGGTGTAGGTTAAATTTCCGTGAAAATTAAAAAAACAAACAAACAGTGTCACCCTCTGCATTTTGTTCCCTCAGTCATGATTGACTCTGACAGTGTCGAAGCAGCCCGCTTCCTAACTAATCTGAATGGTGTCAATGACAGCGTACAACACTTTACTGTTTTACTTCTAGTAAGATTTTAACAAGACAATAGAGGCAGGGGTACACTCAGAGCAACCTACCCGGAGAGCCTAAACAAATGGGCGACGGGGAAAGATCAGGATAATGCAAGTTTTAGAAGGCGTCCGTAGCAAATGAATGAACGGGCAACCATGGTCGCTGACGTCTGTCGTAGATCTTCCACGACCAAAAGTTTTACAGCACTTGCAACATAAATAGGTCATATAGGTTGCCGAAACAACTTACAGGTAAAGCTTTTCCCTACCCAAGCTTTTGAACTCACATCTCAGTACACTTGTATCTGCCAGTTCCGTCCAAACACTCGCAGTTGTAATCACAGCCGTCTTGCCATCTTCTTCCCTGTTGGTACTGCCTTCCCTTGTACACACAGACACCTGCGTGAGATGAGACCCACAACTTTGGTCTTTAAAAATGCCTCGCATATCGAATGGATATAATACAGAGTAAAACGGTGAATGTAGTTTGAAAATATCTCTTAACCCACTCGCTTTTGCAAGAAATAAAAGTTGGGTATTGGAACCAGGACCATCGACAATGTGGCCAAGCAAGGTATCTGCAGAGCTAACTGCTTATACATTTTTATTTCACGACTGCACGTAGATTACAACCCCCCCCCAAAAAAACCCCCCCCAAAAAAACCCCAACCCCCCCCCAAAAAAAAACAAACAAACCAACAACAAAAAACAAACCATTGATTGATTGATTGATTGTTTCTTTGTTTGTTTATTGTTTGTTTGTTTATTTGTTTGTTTGTTGGTTGGTTGGTTGGTTGGTTGGTTGAATATAACCATTACATGACATACACCGGTAAACTATACACAACAAAGCACGGTTCTCCCTAAAATAAAACGGCCAAAGGTCCCTACCGGGTGGAACAGGGGACGGTGTGGGCTGTCCTGGGAGTGGTGGGGGCGCGTTGGGATCGGTGGGCGTTGGGGCGGGCGTGGCGTAGCCTCCTTCCTTGATGGCCGGTGGTGGGGTGGGGATGAGCCCGGTGCCTGTCTGGTTGTTCAGGCTGGTGGGGATGTCGCAGCGGATCACCTTACAGCACAGAGGGTCAGAGGGGTCGTCCTCGAAATGGCAGCCCTTGGGCACGGCATCGTAGCTGGGACATCTGTGGTGGGAGCGAAAAAAAATAAAGTTGAGAAATTCTGCTACCTTTCTACCGCTACTCCGTGGCTCCTTCTTACTGTAGTCTTTCAGCCACACCTCTGATCTCTGGGTAAATAAGATCTAACACCTAGCTTTCTCGGATAAGGGCCAAACATATTGTAGGTTCCGAGTACAAGTTGAGCAGGTTAAGGATCCCTTGGTGGTCCTATAACGGATAAGAGTAGACTTCGGCCTTCACCTGGGCACAATTCAAAATTAATTCCTACCAAACTGAAAATGCTTTATGTGTTCCGCGCGCTCGTATGACCTTATGCATTTGCGAGCGCCGTAAAACGCTTACCCCAAAAATGTTGAGCAATGATGATATTGAGGATTATGACAATATTAAGTAAATCAACAATAACAACAATTTTGCTATTGTCTTTATTATCATTATTATGTACATCTAAATATCAAAACAGGAGAGTTGTGAAAAAGACAACAAGAGTGGAGGGTTATAAACAAGCAAAAGTAATAGCTCTAGAGCGCAAGACAAGCAACATTTAGCCTTAAGAATTCTACTGTTACAAACTTAAGCGGATGATCCATGAGAGTGCCCGCTCTCACCAATCATCCAAAGCAAAATGCCAATTACTTTTTGGGTCCACATAATATAGACACTATGACCTTTTACAACTTGATAGACTACCGAAAAGCAGTACGCACAATACTGCCTAGCCTGGGCTGTAGACATAGAGGAAGTAGAATACTCAAGTGCTCCTCCCCTTTCTTCAGATCTTGACTATTTAGACATATCCTTAAGGAGAGAAATAGTCAATACGTTTGGTGAAATTGTGAAATACTATAGGTTAACGCCCCTATCAACACTGCTTAGGATTTAAGAGGCGGTACCTCCGAGTTTGACGTCCATCCCCGAAAGGACAGAGCCAAGAGGGACATTCTTGCAAATTGCCTTTTCCAAGGACACAACGTCGGACCGAGTTGAGACTCGAATTCTAGAACCCGCTATCTCACGATTACGAGTCCTGTATCCTAACCACTAGGCCACCGACTCCACCTTAATACATTTGGAATCAAGGCAGGTGTTAGGGTATAGACACTATAAGACTAGCTAAAAGAACAGGGGTGCTGCATAGAAGCGACTAGCCATGGTGTATTACTATTAGAAAGATTTTGAATCCCTCACCTGTTGTCACATCTGTACAGGCCTTGGTTTGCGTTCTCGCACTCACATGAGTAGTCACAGCCGTCGAACCACTTCTGGCCCTGGGTGTAGGTCTGACTCTTGTACACACACACGTCTGAATGGGGATAAAGACAGGACAGTCAGCAGGGCACGAGGAAAATAGGTTGTTATGTGAATACAGAGGGTAGTGACTTATTTTTTTTATAAGACAATGGGTTGTTGTTTTGCGAGGAATTGAGTTTTTTAGTGAGGAAATGTTTTGTTTCTGTTGTTGTAGTGGGCAAAATGGGAACAACAACAAAACAACAACAGCAGCAAAAATACTACTACTACTACTACTACCACCACCACTGCTACTACTACTACTACTACTACTACTACTACTACTACTACTACTACTACTACTACTACTACTACTTCATTTACCCTTGGGTGGTGGCGTTGGCCCGGAAGCTGTGGTGGGCACCCGGGTAGAGCCTGGGGCGAGCGTTGGGCCCGGGGAGTTGGGGTTCGGTTGGCAGTCTGGAACCTCACAGCAGGGGTTGCTGGGGTCTCTCACCAGGCGACACAGAGGAGACAGGTTCACGTAGCGTGGGCATCTGGGCGTGGTTAAAGAGTTGTACAGAAGGTTAGTACAGAAGGTTAGTAATGTGGGCATCTGGGCATGGTTAAAGAGTTTACAGAAGGTTAGTATTGTGGGCATATCTGGGCGTGGTTAAAGAGTTGTACGGAAGGTTAGTATTGTGGGCACATCTGGGCGGGGTTAAAGAGTTGTACAGAAGGTTAGTAATGTGGGCATCTGGGTGTGGTTAAAGAGTTGTACAGAAGGTTAGTATTATGGGCATCTGGGCGTGGTTCTTCTCCCTCAGAGACCTAACATTGACAACACACTCTACGGAACATTACAGCAACTGCAGCAAACCTGCACTTTTCACTACATGGCATTGGACAGAAGGGCGAGAGCCCAGCTGTTGATGGATCGATAACAACAATAACAACAACAACAACAATAGCTGGGCGTGGTTAAAATTTGTACAGAAGGTTAGTTAAGGAATAAATGCATTTTTCATCTTGTCTGTTTGAGTTTTAAGCTGGGGCTTGAGCAAAGATGAAAATTTAATCATATTTCGAAACATAATGGTTATGGTTGTGAAAAGTATGGTAGATAGACAGAAACAACAACAACAACAACAACAACAACAACAACACACACACACACACACTCACATACGCACACACACATACGCACACACACATACACACACTCACACACGCACACAAACACACAGAAACGTTAAGACAGACCAACATACACACGTGCATAACACACACATACGCACACACATACACACATACGCACATACACACACAAACACGTACGCGTTCGCACGCACACATACACACCCAGGGCGGAAAGAGAGAGGCAGAGAGAGAGAGAGAGAGAGAGAGAGAGAGAGAGAGAGAGAGAGAGAGCGAGAGCGAGAGCGAGAGAGAGAGAGAGAGAGAGACACAGAGACAGACAGAGACAGAGACAGAGAGAGACATAGACAGAGTAACAGAGAGGGTGGAAAGGGGAAAGTAAGGAGTAAGAGGATCAGTGAGTGGGTGAGTGAGTGAGTGAGTGACTGACTGACTGATTTCTTGACTCACTATTTCACCCAGTCAGCGAATCAGTTAGTCCGTCAGTCAGTCAGTCAGTGAGTTTGAAGTAGTTTAAGCTATTTAAGATAAAATATATAAAATAGCTCAACCGAGACAAAATAAAATAAAACAAGCCCATCCACTCCACAATCTCTAAAACTTAATTTGACTTACTTCTCAGTGCACTCGTATTTTCCGACGAGGGCGTTTACACACTCACACTGGAACTGACAGCCGTCGTTCCACTTCTGGCCCTGGTTGTACCTGGTTCCTTTGTACTCGCAGTACGCTGGGAGAGTACATGGCACGAGGCAAATCTGTATTACTTGGCTGCTTTATGTCACACTTCTTTTTACAAGAACAAAGAGGAGGGGGACGACGAGGACGACGAGAACGATGACTAAAGAAGAAGAAGAAGAAGAAGAAGAAGAAGAAGAAGAAGAAGAAGAAGAAGAAGGAGAAGAAGAAGAAGAAGAAGAAGAAGAAGAAGAAAAAGAAGAAGAAGAAGAAGAAGAAGGAGAGAACCAGGCGTGCATTTGCAATAACACCATACCATCACAGACACAGTAGGGGGTAATGATACAGAAGATTTAAAAAACAACTTACTCAGTGTAGGGGGCGCGACTGTCTTCCCATCCGGCCCAGGCGTTGGAGGCACCGTCACGGGCACTCCAGTGATCTTCCCTACCACGGCGGTTGGCGTAGGAACAGGGGTTCCCACAGGGGTCGGGTTCGGACCCTGCGTGCCAGGTGCCACAGAGCCTCCGGGCAAGGTTGGCGGGGCCGGTGTGGCTACTGGGGCTGGAGTGCCGCACTCCGGCACGAGACAGCAAGAGTCTTTGGGGTCTGTGACCAGTTTGCACTCGGGTGGTAAATTGTCGTAAGTGAAACATCTGCAAATTTGAATAAAGGTGTGTGTAGATGAGTCGGTTGAACACCCCTTTGAATACTTTCAACAGTTTTAACCGGATATTTGACAGGGCGTTTTTAATGTCCGTTGTCGTATGTGGAACATGTGCAAATAGAGGTGCGTGTAGATGTGTGGGTTAAACGCCACTCTCAACATTTTCAACACTTTTAACTGGTTATCTGACGGGACATTTAAATGCCCTTTGTCGTACCAGAAAATTCTGCAAAAAGAAGTGTGTGTAGTTGTGGGGGTTAAATGCACTCCTTAACACTTTCATTACTTTTAACTGTGTTTATTTTTCCTTCTAAAGAGGCGTGGCATTTTAATATTCATCTCCAATAGTGCAGAGCCATTAGGATTCATGAAAAAAAAATCGCCAAACAATCCAAGAATGTTCAATTCGGGATGCGACCCAGGACCAACCGCACCATAGCTCAACATGATACTACCTAAGAACTAAAAACCCACACAGTTGAGTGTTAGAGGTATCTCATATTTCCAGACTGACAACTGTTCCAACACACATCCCCCCTCCCTCAGAGACCTAACATTGACAACACACTCTATGGAACATTACAGCAACTGCAGCAAACCTGCACTTGTCACTACATGGCATTGGACAGAAGGGCGAGAGCCCAGCTGTTGATGGATCGATAACAACAATAACAACAACAACAACAATAGCTGGGCGTGGTTA